CCCATAGTTCTAAGCTGTACAGTGACACAGGCCATTTGAAAGTGCGGCTAAAACTCTATGGAAGAAATGACTCGTTAAATTAGCACCTAATACTCAAGTCATTAGCAAGCTGTTACCACCAGTGGAATGCCTTTGATGGCACTGCTTTGTGTGAGCCGGTGCCTTGTAAGCTCCAGTTTGGAAAAATTGTCTACATCTGGATTCCTGGATCATAACACTCTTCTGTTGTTTTATGTACAGCAAAAAAAACATTAAAACTGTGATTTCGTGCCTTCTCTGACCCATAAAACTCTGCGACATGTGGAGGTTGTAACCATCCAGTTACAAGTAGCACAAACCTCTGTACTCCTTAACAACCAAGTCTTTGGGGTGCTTGGTAAGCTGAGGGGAAAAGTCCATTATGGGGAGATATTAGTAACCCTCTTAGGCAAAGCTAGTCTCTGGGCCAACCCTGAGGGCTCATTTCAAGTGCTTAGCACTCGTTTGGAGCTTTGTCACCCCTCACCCTGTTGCCAGCATGGCCCCAGCCCCTCTGGCTGTGGAGCGGAGCTGAACCACAGACCTTTACCCCTGCCCGCCACCAGGGAGGGAACATTGACATCACAAGTCTTAACACACACACATTTGCACACACATACTCACAGTAACATTGTGGCACACAGTCATTTTCACAATCCCCCCTCCAGTAGTGCACCACAGCCAATGGTCTACTTTCCCGCCGTCCACTCCCATCCAGTGACAGCCCCCTCTCTCCCTCTTTCTCCACCCTCATGAAGGTTGCCAGGCAGCAGAGAAAGACTTCACACACACATACACCCCACTATGCCTCTGAGGGTTTTCCGGATGTCCTTGTTTACATCATGGAGTGTGCGGGTTGTAGTGAAGCAGACTCAGAGCCTCCGTGATTATGTCTGTCTAAGTCCTGCACTGACCTCCATTCATTTGGTGTCCATGCAAATGTTCATGGCAGCACCACGGTCGGTCTATCATTACTCTTATAGGTGCATGGTACTAACCCTGTGTTGGGCGAAATTTTCATTATCAGGGTTAAAGGAAGTTTTTTCTCCATTACCTTGCATTGACATTGTTTTCTAGAGCAGGAGTGAGTATAAATTAAGTTAATATGGCCGCTGAGAACCAATAACAGTTATCAGCTCTAACAGTGGCTGGCAGTGATGTGCGGGACGCTTGCTGACTGTTACTAGGCTGTGTTTTCCCTCTGTGTGTCAAACCGATCGATTGGTTTTGTCTGCTCCTCCCTCCAACTTTGATGTTCCCATTGATTGTTCTCATCTGCCCCTGAACTCAAAGGTTAGAGGAGCTGAGCTGCACTTCTGGATTGCTTTGACCTTCGCTCTGCACATGCTCAGTAGGTTCACAGAGCCCAGAGCCAAGCAGGCACGGTGGTAGCCAGGGCCGTTGGGTGCGTGACAGCCAGACAACGGTGTGATGTCTTTTTTTTTTTTCTTTTCCTCACCCACTGAGAATGATGTATATGTGATTGATTTTTCTCCTACCCTTCTCTCTACCGTGTTTCCGCTGCAGTGCACTAAGCAGGACTGAGTCCGGGCTTGATCAATGCATTGTTTTTCTTTTTCAATCACACTTGAGTGAGCTGAAGACACGAAAGGTTACACAGGTGAGGTTTGGCAGGGATGGAAGCGGAGCAGAGCTTCTGGAGGCCCCCTCAAGGCCAATATATGAGTTTGCATGGGTGTTTGTGTGTGTCTGAGAGAGAGTGAGTCAGAGAAAGAGTTACGTACAAAGAAAACTTCATCATCTATGTTTTTACAAACTTTTTAATTAGTTAGTTTATGCTAATTTCTCTTGTTTTTGCTTCATAACAGTTTTAACCATATCTGCACTAAAGCCATTTTCATACATGTCAGGTAAAATACAGAGAATTGGCTACGGAGTTTACCTGTAGTCTGTCACACAGCGGGAGGTTCTCTGCACAGACACGTTCACAACCGCATCCAACCCTCCGCATTATTCAGGCGAGAGGTGGAGCAGCCGGGTGCAGCAGACAGACGCAGGAAGTGACGAACTAACTCTGCCTCACAGATCATGTGATCATGTTTACAGCAGCCCGTCGGCTCTTATCACCACAAACTCTCTCGACATATTCATCGGTGTCTTCTACATGTATGATGCTGCTTTTTCACCGGACGATATTTGGATATCAATCCCCCCCCTCTCGCTCATGGTGAATCCATCGGGGGATCCCCTGCTGTGTTCACACATCGAAAATATGGAGTAACTGCTGGGACCAGTGCATGTCTGAAAGCAGCTTAACATGCCAGGAATATATTATGTGACCACTAATATGTACTGGACATGCACGTGTCAGTGTAAACAGGAAAACGTGTGTGCCGGAGTATACAGGAATTATTGCAGATTGTATGAATATTATCTTGTCTCCTTGTCATGTAAGCAGGTGTATCATTGTCAAATGCAGAATTTAAATACACAAAAGCTGTTAGCAAAGAAAACAAGGTTTGCAAAGCTTGTTTATTTATGTTGTGTTTTACACTGGTAGCCGAGGCTAATGCCGTTTGTGTTTTTCCGGAAGACGGACATAGGGACAATAGGAGCCTGATGAATCAGTGAAGACGCACTTAGTAAGCTCTTGTGAGAGTTTCCAAACATGTCTGTTTCTGCCTGGTCAGAATAAAATGCAGCCCTGCAGTTTTCAAACTAAAACGGGGGCCGTTTTCAGCAGCTCTAAAACTCGCCTGATAAAGTCCGGACTTTATCCTCAGTTTCCCTTTCACACATGCACAACACAGCGGGAGGTTCACTGCCCAGACGCGTTCACAACAGCAACAAATCCTCCACATTGTTCGGGTGAGGGGTGGAGCAGAAGGCAGTGGCAGGAAGTAACGTATTAATTCCGCTGTGGAGATCATGCAGGGATCGTGTAATTTGGTTTACAACACACTGACACCGTCATCAGCTCTTATCACATACATCTTTGTTGTTGTCTTCTACTTGTACTGCACTGCTTTTTCACCTGAAAATATTTGATTTATTTTTGTGGGGTTATTTTTCATTATTGCGTCTGTCGTGTGTTAGTAACATCATCAACCCCCCACTTGCTGCAGGGGATCCCTGCTGTGTTCTCACATCGGATTCTATGTACTTTATGCAGACTTTCCACTGGGAGACCAGGCGTAGAAAGTCCGCACATAATCTGGAGGCTCTCATCCTGACATTTGCGTTCAAATGAGGAGTTCAGTGCATGTCTGAGAAGCAGCTACAGCGGAAAACAAAGTAGTATGGCTGTAGCCAAAGAGGGAAGCTTTCATCCTTGCCTCTGTAAGTCCTGTGTAACCTTACCTTTACCATCTTTCATTAAATTATAGGTCCTTCACAGTGTCTCAGTCCTCACCTGCCCCAGTTAATCTGCTAGGCTGTATGAAGGCGACTCCTCTTGTTTCCTCTAGTTGCCTGACATGTAGAGTAGGCTAACACACACACACACACACACACACACAAAGGCCATGTGCTCAACAGAAGAGGCCACTTGAGCATGATGCACGTCCAACGTGTTAGCCACAGGAGCACAAGGCTTCATATCAGACAGGAACATCAGTGACATAAAAGCATTTTGCTGCTCAGACTCAGGTGTTTTAATGCTCCCTAAAACAGCATTAAGCAAAGGAAGGAAGCAGTCTGCCCTAGAGGGGTGAAGAGTGGTGTGTCGCCCTAAATCATGTCTTTAGTAATGACGCCGCTAAACCCTGTACCCAAACACCTAGCGATTTAAAAAAAAAAAAAAAAAAAAAAAAAAAAAGATAAGTATCTGTGGGAGTGGAAGGGCTCTCCTGAAGCTGGATGTCTGGAGGGGGTAAGGATGTGGCAGGCAGAGAATGTTGAGAGGGCTGGGGTGGGGTGGGAGCGCAGGCTTTTGACCAGTGGGTTTCAGATGTCATGGAAGATTCTTTCAGGGACAAATTACAGGGTTTAACTCCTCTTGTGACCAGGATGCCTGTATTCTGATTCAACTTCCTCGATAGACACTCGAGCGACACGCTACTCAACACCATTGTCAGGCGCACACTTGACTCAGGGGACACTTCACCTCCTCTCACACTCTTAGGACCTCTTCAAGACTTTGTTTGATGAGTGCCACCGGTGGCCTTTTCTTGTGGCTTCAGGAGAGAGCGGAGCAGCAGTGTAGCCCTCTTAAGCTTTATAGTGGTTAGCGTGTTAGTGTTAGGGGCTTTACATGAGTGGCCCTTTGTGCTTTGAGTTGGCACAGGGCTGCTCCACAGATAAGCTTTAGTGTGAAACTGCTAAAAGACTTGATTCTAATGACTCTGGCATTAGCGGACCATAATCATCTGTGTTTCAACACAGTAAAGCAACAGCAAATACACTTTAGCTGCGTTCAGATGTGCACTGAAGTCCGGACATTTTCCTGAAATTTTCTGGAGTATTTCACGTTTCAAACATGTGACAAACGCCATACAAGAGATGCCAATACACGTAGACATAGATGAAGATATCAACTTGGAAAGACAATGAGATTCAAGAGCTTTTGGAAATAAGGGCCGAGGCTGGTGTCGACGAAAACTAAAACATCTTTGGATTCTGCCTGAAAATGTTTCTTGAATACAAACATCAGCCCATAAATGCATGTCGTTGTGTCCCGTACACAATTTCTAAAAGCACTTCCACCTCTCTCTCTCACACACACACACACACACACACACACACACACACACACACACATATATTCCATGTGAGCTGTAACAGACCTAAAGCTCTCTGAAGCATTTAGCAGCACGCTAGCAGGTTTACTCAGCGCTGCCAGTGCTGAGGGGAGTGGTGAAGCATCTAATGCAATTTCAGCCCAACATGCTTCTCTGTGAATAAACATCGCTGAAGTGTACCATCTACTGTATGTTGATCCACTGCAGTGCTTTCTTTTTTCTCCAAACAGGCTGATCTAATGCCCCCCTCCCCCTCCCTCTCTCTCACTCTAATTTCTGTAGAGACTGCATTTGCCTCCAGACCTGTCTGAGACGGTGAGTCGTGTGAGCAGGGGGGAGCTGGCAGGAGGGGCAGCGTCAGCTTCAGCCTGTGGGTCCAGCACTTCCGGCAACAAACACCTGGACTTCTAGAGCTCCCACACAGTCGCCACGGGCAAACCCAACACCTGGAACACCGCAGTGCTGTCCTCTTTACCACGGTGACCAGGTTGTTCCCTTGCCCACATAATGTCAACCACGATAACCCTGCCAGCCATTACCACCTGCCAACTGTCCCAGCCAGGGGTGAAGACCTAAACATCCACAGTACCTCTTCTCAAAATGGACACATTTCAAGTTCCTTTTAATATGAATTCACATCAAACTGATATATATATATATATATACACATATACTGATTGCTGACATCTTCTCAGACTGTCAAAGTTCATTTTACTTCAGACAATAAAAAGTCAGACCCATAGTATTTCGAAATGTTACCCAAAGTCATATGACGGACAAGGGGACTTACTTAACACAATTGAAATCCAAGATGGAGGGATAATTTAAGATATGGTACTTTTTTTTCCATCTTCTGCCTCCAGGGAGGTTGTTTACATGTTAAGTGTGATCATGAAATATTTTTTAGTCATTACAGACTCTGTCTTGACTGACTTTAAATAATTTAACGACATTCTCCCAAGTTCAGTGCTTACTTTACTAAACATGTGGCCACTTCCTGCTTAGCTCCACCATGTACACGAGTCTGAAAGTACTTTTTTTTTTCTAGGATAAACCAATTGACTGTGGTTTTGTTGAAAAATAAAATAAAAAAATATTAAACAGTGAACATCATATGATTTTTACTCAAATTTGACTGAACTCTGTCAAGTGAGTAGTGAATGACTGATCTCTGGTCTGCCTCGCTGGTTTCAGGTTTAAACAGGGATTCCTCCATCTGACCCTGAGACTGTGCCGGTGAGTGACGTCTACCTCCAGTAAGCTGGAATGTGGGCAGAGGGTAGGAGAGGGGGATTCGGGTGCAGGCTTCACACCTCATCAGGCATGTTTGCTGGATGAGCTGCTTTGCCATGACAAGCCCAAAAAAACAAATTAGGTCAAACAGTGACATGGAGAAAAGAGTTGGGGGAACAAAAAAAAAAAAACATGAAAAATTTAAATGTTTCATTTTTGTTTTCCTCAGTCTGCTGCTGTTGCCAGTTTGAATATTTTCTCGCGTAAAAAAAGGGCAGCATGGGTGAGCATCTGCAACACGTGTCGGGTGAGGGTGGTGTTACCTGACAGTTTCACGCATGGATGAAGTGCTCTTATATCGGGTGTATGAGAGAGAGAGCTGACACACACAGGTCATATATGCAGGTGAACTAAAGCTTGTCAAGAATACAACTGGTTTCCAAGTTCCTCTTGTAGAAGAGTTGACATATTCAGGGTACAACTTTAAGGTGGATTAAAAGAGAATAAATTCCTTTTGGCCTTTGTTTATGTTTCTATACTTCTCATGTCTGTTACACTTTCTACTTCTCAGTGTCACATGGTGCTGATTTACTCTTTGTTCACTCAGTTCAGAAAGTGAATTATTTTAATATATTTTAAGTGTCCTATATGCACATAGAGGGTTGTTGCAATTTCATATATTCAACTTAGAGAATTGTCTCTACATTAAAATTCGGCCAAATGTTGCCTCCATGCACATTTACACAAATTAGCTTTTTTAAATAAGTGACCTGGTTCCCTGCACCTCAATACTAGACTGTATTAAAAGCCCTTCACTGTGCCCTTCACACGTGACTAAAGAAGCATTTTCTCTTCACTCAGTCCACTGGCTTCTTCTTTATAAAAATAAAATGTTGCTAAAGGCCAATTGAAACTTTCAAGAAGGAGGTCTGGTAAAATGTATGGATGCTTTATCTTGTTAAACGAAAACAAAAAGTGATGTCGGGGACATTCCCAGACATCACTTTTTGTTTGGTTTATTTATTTATTTTTTCACCATCTTGCCTTAACTTCAGTCTAAAAATCAGTCTAAAGCATATATCAGTATTACATATAATTAATATTCTTTTTTTTCATAATAACATTTATAACAAGATAAAGCATCCATACATTTGACCAGACCTACTTCTTGAAAGTTTCATTTGGCCTTTAGCAACATTTTATTTTTATAAAGAAGAAGCCAGTGGACTGGGTGAAGAGAAAATGCTTCTTTAGTCACGTGTTTTGGCAGCTGCCACTTATGTCCTATTGATTCCTCAACTAATTTGCTACCTGCAGTAGCTTTAAGCTGAGGTCAAATGGTTTCTGTTATTGAATGGCTGTCACATTGCAGCACTCTTCAGTTATCACAATGTAAGACAGTGTTTTTTTTCTCTTATATAAAATTTGTGATTCATAAAGCAGATTTTATATGTTTGTGTTGTTATTTTATATGTATGTGACTGAAAAGCAGTTTACAAAATACACAAAATCTAGACTGGTATTTAATATATTTAAAGCGATGAGGGAAACATCTCACACACACAGTGCAGAATCAAACTGTTGTCATTAAATAGCAGAGTATCCGCCTCTGTCCACTACTGTGGAAACTCACTTCAGATTTCCAGGCCCTAAATAAGTGTTGCATTAAATGACAGATCAAAACAGTACAAAGTTCTCATGCAGGAAGTTTTTACAGGAACTTATGTCGCCTGACTCTGCTCAGCACGAGAATTACATTTAAACCTTTTCATCCCAAAGCTGTGTATTATTTAGACACTAATTGCAGTCTTTCTTGCATTTTGAATTTCTCTTTCATTCGCTCTCTGTAATTATTAATGTTCCTCCTCTGTCTCTGCACGTTTCGTCTGAGCCCCCCACCACCACCACCACTCTCAGAACACTATTCCTCTGTCTATGTGATAAACTGGATTAAATGAATAGAGAAATTGCATTAGCCCCAGAAAAAAAATCTGCTTAAAAATCTGATTAACCTCCAAGCCTCAAATTTCTGATTGGACTATTAAATATTGAGTGAGACGTGTAAATTCAATTAATCAATTTAGCAAGACTTTTGGCGGTTGGTACATGCTGTGTGAATGTTACCTGACCTTACTCTCTCCTGGATATCCTTTCCTTTTAGATGCTCTCTCGCTCACTCTAACACTCCCCTTCAAACCTACACACACACACACACACAGACATAGAGACACAACCCCCCTGCTGAGATAGCAAGTGAAGCAAAATAACTCACTCTGCCATACAATCGCTCCTCTGCCTCGCTCTAGGCGCTGACTGCTTTATTCCATGACTTTTTTTCTCTCTCTCTCTCCTCATCCTCACCATTTCTGTTTTTTTTCCCATCCCATCGTAACTCTACTAAAACAAGAGCCAACGATGGTGAATTGCTTGACCTTTCTCATTGTGTGGCGGCGGTGTTGTGCTGTGTGGTCTTTGTTGACTTGGTTCAGCCCTGAGTGTTGTATGTGTGTTACAAGGCCTCATCCTGGATTTTCTGAAATTAGTTCAAATTTTTGCAGCGGGGAAAATTAAGCTTCTATTTGCACGGTGAAGACTGACACTGTATTTGGACACAGCATTGAACAGGCAAAAATGCTTTCTTTAAGACACAATTTTACTGTACAAAATGTTTTTATAGTTTTCACAAAATACATTTAGAAAGCTCCATTTTAAATAAAATTAAATTGAAATATTTAAGAGACAGCGTGTAGACGTTTTTTTTTTTTTTTTTTTATCTCAGAAGCATTGCTCAGACGTAAACCCAGTATGTGTCCATGTTCTATGTACACACTGAAATAAATGCAAAACTCAACAAGAGCATGACAGATGATGCTAGAAAAACCCTCCCATGGTCTTCAATTATAAATAACGGACTGCAGGGTTCGACTGCAGTCTCACGAACTCCAAGCCAATGTAATCGAACAGAACGTGTTTACAAAAAGAAGTTTTTGCAACACAAGGACTAATATCTTAAAAAAACATTGTGTACTAGATGAAATACAAAGGCTTTGGTCTGTTTTACAATCAACAATGATTAAATCTGATATGTACTTGTAAACAACTGCCAAACACTTAAGTTTAAAACTCTGTCAAGCAATGTTTAATCATAATTATAGGAATTAAATATTTCTAGTTGCACAAAAAGAATTTTGACCATAGGACACTATAATACAACTATACCTAAGAGACAAATTGTACCTGACCCTAAAGTAATGTATTTTATGATGCATGGAACATTTATAGAATATTCTCGGGGATATAAATGAAATCAACTTTTATTGGAGAAATCTTTCTGGAAGATTTCTAGGGAAGACAAGTACTTTACATTTTGACATAAACAAACTGGATTATATCGAAGACGCAGTCTACCATTTACAGACTACAGGTTTTTTCTTTTACACCTGTTTCCCCACATTTAAAGTTCTTCGTGGTAATCTAGAGTCAATCCAACCACCGAAGCGAGAGGTCCATGTTGTGTCACGTGTTGCACCGTCTCTGTGCACTTTGAGCTGTTGATAGTGGTCCGTGTCTAATAAGCCAGCAAACGTAGGCCAGTGTCAGAGGAGTCAAGACCACAGCCTCAGTGGAAGGATCGAGTTTAGAGTTTCCTCTGCTAAATATCCATTCGTAAAGAAATAAGATCAATAAATATTTTTTTTCGACACAGTAAGAGTCTTCCCTCCAGCTTTTTCGTCTTTAATGATATGCAACAGCGTCCAGAGACCATGCAAAAGGCTGGTAGAAAGTCTCGATATAAGCAGATTAAAAGATAGTCATGGCAGAATCGCTCAGGTTCTCCTCTCGCAAACAAACCCAAGACCAACATGGTTTTCTAGCAGTCCATCTATCAGTACTTGATCTTGGTTTTTCATATTAACATACAAATGGCCATTTACTAACACACCAGAGAAAAAAGGAAACAATGACTGAAGTTGGAAATAGAAAAAAAAACAGATAAGTTTTTGTTCCATAGAAATTTAACACCGGGCACTTTACAGAGGTCCATTTTTTTCTGTCTTTCCATTGTTCTCTCTTCCAAGTCCTCGTTTGATTGTGCCTAGAGCTACAGAACAGCACACAGTCCCAATGGAAAAACAAAGCCCAGACGTCCCAAGGCTCTCCCAGAGTCTCTCTCTCTCTTTCTCTTGCATTCTTCCTTTCTTTCTTCATCTCCTCTCCTGTTCCTTTGCCTCTTCTCAACCCTCTCTCGCCTTCTCTACTCTCCTGTGCCGTGTATGTGTGAGGAGCACTGCCGGAGGGCGATGGTGAAGTGGGTGGTTACAGGGTGAAGTAGCTCTTCTCTCTACTGTAGTCTGGACCAGTACTGAGACATGTCAGGCTCGCTCCCTGGTACTTGGACAGGGACAGACACTCCAGGAGAGATGAGTCCTACAGAGAGAGACAGAAAGATAAAGACATCAGTTCAAAGAAATAATAGAAGTAATGAAAAAGAAAGCCTTGAAAGTCAGCATGCTGAATTAGATGAATGGATGAACTTTAGTTAGCCTTGTAGTACAAAGCAATATGTTTTTAAAAGCTTGCAAACAGTAAAAACATGCAGTGAGGCTGCAGCGAGTCAACGCTCTGCACGTGGTCGCTCGGTAAAATGCTTGCAAGCTCAATAAATTGAGGCTCTGGCAACGGCATTTAAATAGAGAGAGTACAACAGCAAATGAATCAAATTAATTAGCAATTTAGCACAGAGGAAATGTGGTTATGCATGATTAACTCTTCATGACTATAACCAGTATATATGGCTCTGGGTAACAGCACCCTAATGGGGTGGAACTAAACTATGGGCTGGAGTAGTGGGACTGACATGATGGCGATGGAATG